GACGCCTGGCCCCACCCCTGGAGTTAGTGATGCCTTTGGTCTGGGATGCATCTATGGCATCATGATATTTTAACCCCCAAGTCATTCTGGGGTGAAGCCACGGCTGAGAACTGCTTGTTCACAATAGTCAGCGCGGAGGTAAGCCAGCGTTGTCAGGTCAGGCACAAGCAGCAGCCACCTCCTTCATTTCACTCAAAATCTCAGGGAAACTGCAGCAAGTCCTGGTTATCAAAGTTAAAATATTACTTTTCCATAAAAAGGTTAAAATCAAAATAAGACCTGAAAAAAACAATAGTTCTTCCACCAGGTTCCGTGGGCCAGTGAGCACAGCAGGGCTTCCGGGAGCGTTAGGCAGCCGCAGCCGCTGGGCCCGGCGCCTTCGCTGTCACCCGCCCTCCACGAATCTAGTACCAGCCTGAAGTCGTGTTCTAGAACGTGGTTTCAAATCTGGGGGTGTTGCCTACCTCCCAAAGGCCAGGGAATGAAGTGGGGAGTTGCTAGGTTTGTCCTGAAAATGGCCCCCATCTACTGCAGGGGTCACCCAGGAGGCGAGCATGCTGTTTCTAGGTTTAGGCCTCACGGGGATGCTCTGTAAGTTCACTGTGTAGGCGTCACGTGTGCCGTGTTTAACAGGTGTGTCCCGGCCGTGCACTGGCCCCGCCCCTCCTGCCCCCACTCACACCCCACAGACGGCTTCTGGAGGGAGCTGGGAGCTTAGCAGGCGCGCTGGTTGTTGACTGAGAGATGAGCTAAAGCAGGATGACAGGAAGTAGTTTCCGCTGCCGTGACTGTATTTCTTTATAGACAAGGAAACCTAGAAACCTCGTGGGGAAAGGGGCGTGTGTCCGTCTTGCACCCCTGTCTGTGTGTGTGGGGGGGTGGCGGTTGGTTGGTTGGGTCTGTGCTTTCACTCCTGATGTTATCTTCTCGGAAACCTCTCACAGGCTCGATCCACGCCACATCCGTGGCGGCCTCCCGCGTGGAGCAGGCGCTGTCCGAAGTGGCCTCGTCTCTGCAGAGCAGCACCCCCAAGCAGGGCCCGCTGCACCCCTGGATGACACTGGCACAGATCTGGCTCCACGCAGGTATGCTCTGCCCCGCGGTGGCCCCCGCCCCGCCCACAGTGGGCCCCGGGCCAGAGGCTGCAGGATCCCGTGGGCACTGCCTCTGGGGCCCACAACCCTCAGCAGGAGAAATCGGAGCTTTGGCAGTCTCACCAAAATGTTAGTGCAGTGGTTCCCCCTTATCCGCGGAGGATATGTCCCGGGCCCCCCAGTGGATGCTTGGAACCCTGGATGGTATTGAGCCCTCTGTGTACTGTTTTTCCTTTTCATACACACCTATGGTAAAGTTCAATGAACTAGGCACAGTAAGAGATTAACAACAATAATATTAAAATAGAAGCATTTTACGGCCTCTTTGTCGTATCTGAATCGCCAGCATCCCTACTCTTGCACTTTGGGGCCATGATTCAGTAAAATAAGGGTGCCTTGAATACGAGCACTGTGATTCCCCAGCAGTCTGTTCGATAACCCAGCGGGCCACTAAGTGACTAACGGGCGGGTCATGTATCCAGCGACCCTGGACAAAAGGGTGAATCTTGTCCAGGTGGGAGGGAGCAGGATAGTGCGAGATTTTATCCCATTGCTCAGGTTGGCGTGCAATAGAAAGCTTGTGGATTGTTTATTTCTGGAATTTTCCATGTAATATTTTGGGACCACAGTTGACCGTGGGTAACTGAAACATAGAAAGTAAAACCGCCGATGAAGGGGAGACTCCTGTACTTCTTTGCAGGAGCCATGAATTCCTCTGTCTCCCCACCCTCCCCTGCCTCAGTCCCCTGACCCGGAGCCCGGCTCAGAGCAGCACCCAGGAAAGCTCTTCGAGTTGGACTCTAAGGGTCCCGGGGAGCTTGCTGTGTGTGGGCTGTGCTGCAGCAGGGCCCAGAGAGCTACGCCCCAGACTTTCTCTGCAGGAGACAGCGTGGCATGGAGGCCCAGACCCAGAAGTCTGGAAGTCCCGCACACTTGGAGGGGAGTCCCAGCTCTACTACTGAACAGCTGCATAGACTGAAACTAATAACTTCCTCCCAGCCTCGGTTTCCTCATCTGTACAATGGGAATAATAGTGCTTGTCTCCAGGGTTGATGAGCACAGTGCCTGGCACGTCCTGGCAGTGAGACTCGGAGTCCCCGGGAGAGGCACAGATTGCTGACATGGTGCCTTTATTGAAGCAAAGGAGGGGCAGTGTTTTCCATTCCCTGCTCCCCGCTCAAAAAATCCTGGTAGTCCACAGTGAGGTGGCAGGTACTGCACCCGCTGGGTGAGAAACTGCCCGGGAGGCAGGCACCATGTCCCTCCTCCATTTCACGCGGCTGCTTTTGCGTAGCTAGAAATCCCCCAGATGAATCCAGCACGCAGGCATGTCAGCAACAAGAATCCTACTTTACAGACTCCGAGCAAACAATGGCTGTGGTTTGCTTGCATTTATGTTTCCATATAAAAGACAGTTCTCTTCCTCATGTTTTATCACTTGATCTGCAAGGCCCTCCCAGGCCGTCCCTGGCTTGACTCTCAGGGCGCGTGGTGAAAGCCCAAATGTGGCTGGGAAAGTGCTTGTTGTCCTCACTGGCCATCTGTCTGCTGTTTGCCAGGCCCAGTTGTATGATGTCCAACCTTGTTTGGAACTGTTGGCGGGCCTTCCTACAGGAAAACCCGGTGGGCTCACCTGGCTTTGGCGTGTCGCAGACCGGGCTCAGCCAGCCTCTTCTGCCTTGGCACCTTTAATTGAGCCATAAAACAACAGCAAATTCACAAATTATATCCTTCTAAGCAGAAATACACGCGAGGGCTGATTCAGGAATGTGCCGATGGTTCTTCCTGCGCGGACGCGCGCCAGCACCGGCCTCTCCTGGGTCCTGGGTGCTGGCAGGGAGAGCAGGGAGCAGCGTCATGCCTGCCTCCACTGCTCTCTGACAGAAGGCCAGTCCCCATCCAGGCGCCTGGCCGATCCAGTGGCCTTTATGAGCAGTGACTGCAGAATATGCGGGAAAAGGAGGACGGGTTACTGTCGGGTCAGGAGACTCTGGCTGAACCTTGGCCCAACTGCGGGGCCAAGGTGGGAGCCACTGGGGAGGCGAGGTTGTCTTTTAAATGGGCCATAGCCTCTAGTTTGTTTTTTGAATATGTATTTTTTTATTGATTTCAGAGAGGAAGGGAGAGGGAGAGAGAGAAACATCAGTGATAAAAGAGAATCATTGATCAGCTCCCTCCTGCACGCCCCCTACTGGGGATCAAGCCCGCAACTCGGGCATGTGCCCTGACCAGGAATCGAACAGTGACCTCCTGGTTCATAGGTCGATGCTCATCCACTGAGCCACACTGGCCGGGCTGGAGTGTAGTTTTGAAGGGCCAACGTCTGAAAAACCAGAAGAGCTGAAGGGGACCCTCCAGGCTGGAATGAGCTCCGTGGACCTCACGGGCTTACTCCTCTTGCCTCTTTCTTGGAAAAGTTGACGGCCCGAGTGAGAGCCACGTCCCAGGACGCTTCCCCTGTGGCTTGCTGCCACTCACTCAGTCCTCCAGACTTGGTTCCTCTTTGCGCGGCTGGCCGTGACTCGCGGGAGGAAATGTTGTAGCTGCTGTTGGAACATTGCAGAGCCGTGTGGAGATGTCCTGGGGCTTTTATGTAATCATGTCGCTTCCATGTCTCGCTGCCATCGCCTGCAGGACAGGATAAAGCCCTCACTGCTGGTAACGGGTGGCGGGGGCACTCTGCCTGTGAGTGAGATTGAACTTACGGAAACCGGGTGCCGCATCTGCCTGACTCTGGACAGAAAGAATATGCATGGTGCTTGTGTGCGTGGGCGAACGTGTGTGTCCTGTGATTGGCTGGAGTCGATTAGGACCTTTGTAGGGTTTGTGCCGTAAGGACCTAAAGCAATGGCTTTGTTAGAATTAAGATGTAGAATTTTATCATATATTCATATCATGTCTTCTTCATATAGTCTTTGAAGAGGTCAACTCAACAGACAGGCTCCCTCAAACTGTGCCGTGTTAGCTACTGTGGTGGGAGCTCTGCTGCTCTGAGAGGCACAGTAAACGTGACCCCGCTCTCTGACAGCTGATGGAAACCAGGTAACACCCGCGTCCACAGCAGCTCTAGCAGCACTGCCGGATTCTGTCCGTTTTGCAAGCTTCAGAAGCAACTGGTTAGATCCAGGTCTGACACCCACGGCCGAGGCGTTTCTGTGTCTCTTCTCTGGTGGTTGTTTTTCCGGCAAGCTCAGTGGAAACGGGTGATGGGAGCCCAGGGTAGAGCTAGCTTCAGATCTGAGGGTCACAGGTCAGATCTCCCCACTATTGTAGGAGAGGGTCCCTGTATGTCCATTTGAATGGCAGAGAGATCATGAATAGGACCCCCGAGCCTTCATCTGCTCTGTGAGGGTCCGGCCGGAGCCCAGCAGGGAGCACAGACCCATCTCAAAGGTGCCGCCTGCCAATGGGGTGGGACCCATCCCCTGGTTGCCCTCCCCGCCGCCAGCACCTCCTCAGACTCTTCCTCATAATACCTGGTGGCCGACCTGCATGGGTTGTGCATGATTTTCCCCTGGTCTGTTTGGTTCCATGTGACAGTTTTATTTAAATTATTTTTGAATAAATAATACAATTTTGAATAAATAGTGCACAATTGGAAAGGCACAAAAGGCATCGAACAAAAAGACTCTGCCCATCTCTGAGCCTGTCTCTCCCGCCCACAGGCCCCCACTGTCAGCAGTCGGCACCTTTGAGATGCCACACTCGGAGGTCACTGCTGCCCCACACGCGAGGCTGACTCACACCTTCCCGCAGCTGTAGAGCATGAGCCCATTGTAGGAACCTGCCATCATTTCACCAGACTCCCTCGCTTAACATTTAGATTCTTCCTAGTATTTTGCTGTTATAGACAATGCATCAATAAGTATTGTTATGCGTATTGTTCTGTATCTGTACCTAAACGTGGAAATGATGCATCAAAGGGCACATACTTGAATTTTGATAAATCGTTTCAGATTGTGTGAATTTATATTCAGTCACTAATGTCTGAATGCCCATTTTCTCGCATCCTTGCCAACGCAACGAATTACCAAACTTCTCGATCTTCGCCAGTCTGACGGGTGAAGATGGCATTTCAGTTGCCTGCTCAGGACGCCCGCCCAGTCATCTGCTTAGATGCTCAGCTTTTCTTTCCATTTGTAAGCATTTATTATGTCAAAGAAATGTGCCTTGTCTGATATGTGCTAGAAATATTTCTCCCCGTTTTTATTTTGTTTGTTCTTTTTGTCCTTTTTATTGCCTGTTTTTAAAACATACATTTATCCGTCTTTTCTTGATGGCAGCTGGCCTTCATCTGACATTTAGAAAGCCACTACCCATTTTTACGGTCTCTTTTCCTGAAAGTCTGGGGGTCTGCCAGTGCCACTTGTACATTCGTTTTATAAAGAAGGTCGGAGGGGTTGCCTGCCCCTCTTGCAGGAAGGAAAGCCAGGGTAGACAGAAGGAAGCGCCTCTGAGCTTCCTGCGGCAGCGTCGGAGGTGGAGCAGAGGACTTCATGTTCACTCCACGCGCACCCATCGCCCCCCGGCTTTGTCTGACGCAGACCGCGGTGCTGCCCTTGGAGCCATTCATTCCCAGTGACTCCGAGCAGAACCAGGGCCCTTCCCAGCCAAGCAGCCTGGGTGCCATCTTTCCATTTCCACGTTGGGATGGCAGCTAAAAATGACTTTGCAGTAGGTGGTTAATTTCTGCTTGTTACTTACTAATAATTATAGCTTTCACTGTGGCACCTCTCACAGCCGAAACCGACGGCTATTCTTAGATGTGCAAGATCAGATTTTCTCATTTCTGCCGGGAATTGAGAGCCATGATACTCTCACAGACTCCTTGGCCCTGGCCTGGCCTGGCCCTTTGCCCTTCCCCCTGCCAGGCTCCTCCCAGCCACCAGCAGGCTGCATGGGCAGAGTCGAGGGATAACCCTGTGGCACGGCCCCTCCCCTGGCGAGACGAAGACAGCTCCCAGGCAGGTGGCCTGCTGTCACTCAGAGGGGGCGCCCGCCTGTGGGAGGGATCGCGGTCCCCGGACCTGCCTGCTGACGCAGTGCCCTTGTTGCTCAGTCAGCCCCACCAGACTGCCCCTTCCTCTGCCCAGAGGCGGGTTTTAATTAATGGCCTACAGCTTGCAGGTAGCTAACTCTCATCAAGGACTGTGTGTGTGTCAGACCGTATTCCATGAACTTTATGTCTCGCCTTGTTTAGTCCTCATGATAGCCTTATGGGGCATGAATGCCCTGTTCACCTCATTTGACAGATGGAGAAACTGAGGCACCACTGTCGTCCCTTGAGTGGCTGGTGGTTCGCTTTTCCGCAGCGGGAAGCCTGGGGAAGAGCTGGTGTGTGGGGTCAGCGGGGACGAGAACTTGTGTCAGGTGCCTGAGAACATCCAAGTGACAATGTCTGGCATAGGAATTTGGGGGTGGGGTTCAAAGCCAGGGACGTGGTGCAAATGGCTGGGAAGAAAATGTCGGTGGAGGAGGGAGAGGGCTGGGACGGGGAGCTGAGGCCCCACATTTAAAACCTGCTGCGGGAGAAAAGGCCAGAGAAACAGAAGGAGTGGGCAGCAAGGCGGGAGGGGATGGGGGGCGGTGGTGGCCGCAGAAGGGGCGCACGCAGGAGCCCATGCGGCAGTGCGGAGCGTGGGCTCTGGACTTGGCTGAGTGGAACCCGGGTCCCACCATGGTGTCCAAGGCAGGACGACCCCTCTGAGCCCTAGCTCCCTGCTCTCCAACATGAGGACAGGTGTGACAGGTGCACCGGACCGGGCGTGGAGTGCCCAGTGCGTAGCAAGCACCGTACAGCTACTAAAATAACTGTTTTTAAGTAGGAAATGCTGTTGAGGGACCGAGTCCGGCAGAGACAGTGTCTGTTGGATTCACCGTATGATGCTGGTGGCCTGACAGACAGGTGGTGGCGTGGCGGAGACGGGCCACATGGATGTGGGCTGCAGCGCGGATGGCAAGAGGCGAGAAGGGCGAGGGCACGTTTCTGCAAGAAGAACCCTGGGGAGCACAGGGGGGACGAGAGGGGAGCTGGGGAGGAACACAGGTCAAGGGAGAAGGCTGAAGGCGGACACGGAGCCTGCTGACTGCTGATGGGTGATGCAGTCAGGACTGAGACCCTGTCATCCAGAAAACAGGGGACATGCGCCAGTGTGACGTGCTCGAGAAGGCCAGAGTGTGGCACCAGGGCTCGGGCAGAGGGCTGGCCCTCAGAGCAGAAGGGGCAGCGTGGATGGGCGCAATGGGCAACAAAGGGTGTGAGGGCTCAGTGGCGAGAGGGGCTCAAGGTCGGCTCAGCTGGTTTCTGTCTCCTCTTTGAACGATGAGTCAAGTTCAGCGGGGCTGGGGGCGGAGGGCTGGGGGAAAGGGTTGAGGAGTCAGGAGAACATCCGGACCAAGGCCTGGGAGGGGACACAGTGTACGGCCAGTGCAGCCAGGAGCTAGTCTCGCCGTCCCACCAGGCCCCTAGTGGAGGGACCCCTCTGCACAGCCGTTCGCAGACTCGGAGATAAAGGTCAGCCATGCAGCCAAGCCCTCGGTGAGGACAGGACCTGGGCAGGGTTCCCCCCGGGGGACTGCAGCCCCCAGCGTGGGGCCCGGCCCCAGAAGCTCAGGGTAGGACCAATGCATGAAAACAAAGTCGCCGCCTCCTTTCGCTTCCCGAGCCCCCAGAGGCAGCCCCTGTGAGCCCGTAGGGATGAGGGCCTCCCTCGGCCTTGAGGATTGGGAGGGTGACCGGACACTCGTCAGGACACACGACCCCTTTCCTCTTGGCTCTCGTGCTGAATGATAAGAAAGAGTGGACATGGGAGGCGGGCTCCAAGCACCTGCGCTCCTGGGGACCCCTCTGCCCTGCCCAGGCAGGGGCTACCCCACAACCAAGTGGCTAAGGTCTGTTTCCCAAGCACAGTCACACCCCTCTCAGGAAGCAGGATTTAGGGTAAAGGACTTGGTTTTGAGGGGTCAGGTTTTGAGCTCCCTGCCAGCCTGCTTGCCTGTGGGCCTGACCTGCAAGGCGGGGAGAACCTGAAGGGACACCAGGTCCCTTCCTCCCTATCTGCCAGTTCTCAGGCGATCGCAGGTGTAACGGCCCCCCCGCTGTGTTCAGCCCTTGGGCAGCCTCTGACATTTAGCATTCCTTTGTGGGAGTCTCAGGAAAGGGGTCCCCCTGGCTAGACAGACCCCCGGGGAGCAGGTGTGGCCAGCAAAGGCACCTTTGAGAGAAGAAAAGAGTCCTCACATTCCTGGGCAGACACAGCCCTGTGCCCGGCACACACCGGCCAGCGGAGTCCAGGCTGGACTTCAGCCCTGCTCTGCCCGGAGCACCTCTGCACAGTGCACACCGGCACAGCCCGAGCCACGGCAGGCACCTTGGGCCACATCCTGGAACCCTCCTCACCCTGAGGAGGACGTGGTCCTCGGACTCGGCGCCGCTCCGCCCCACAGATCACACCTCATTCAGTCTCTCATCCACTCCCAGCATTCCCGGAGCTCCAGCTGTGTGCCTTGCACTGTGCCTGTCACGGGGCACACGGCAGCAAACAGCACCTGTGACGCGTGGCTTACGTTCTAGAAGGACTGTAATGAGACAAGATGAACGGCCGTGGGTTCAGGGAGGGAAAGGTGGCAGCAGCAGGAAGGGCCTGAGGCAGGAGCGGCCTGTGGGACCCAAGGCGGAGGCCAGGCTGCAGAGGCCTCGCCTCCAGGACACAGCTCGTTAGGTGCGCGAGGAAAAGAGTAAAACTTTTCTATCTTTTTCCTGTTCCGTTTCTGATTCCGTGTGCACTGTATGTTAACATACAGATAAGTAACTCAGAGATACAGGGACAAACATCCTCGGTGCGGGGGGTCAAGGCCAGAACGGAGGAGGGCGGGGCCGGCCTGGAGGTGGAAGCGTCAGTGGTCACAGAGCACAGCAGCCAGTGAGGAGGGGAGGAGGGCACAGAAGTCCGATGTCCCGGCCCTGGGAAGACTATGGGGCCGTGGTCCCAGCCCTTGGGGGGTGGGGGTGGGCTTGAGTGTACCTGAGAGACAGGCGGGGGCATTGGACACGCGTGATGGGCTCTGGGGCGGGCTGGGCAGCAGAGCATTCAGGACTCTGGGAGAGTGGACGCCTGAGGCTGGAGGGAAGGTCGTTTCCCTGCTTTTTTTAAAGTGACAGCTCGGTGGTTCCAAGAGCTTGGTTGATGTGGGACAGTTAACCAGTTAACCGTCTCCAGGGCACAGCAACGTCCCGGAGCAGCCACTTTATTTCACCCCCATAGACATATACGCCCCGGCCGCTGCCCTTGTCACACTGGCTGGCATCAGGAGGACAGGCGGAGGGCAGAGCCGTTGCCCTGTGAGGGGCTGTGCGCTTCTGGTTGGCTTGTCCTTGAGCTCACTTGGGGGCTGTCAGAGCTGAGGGCGGGTGTCCCAGACGCCAAGGTGTTCCAGGTGGGACACCTGCACAGGCCTCACTCCCCCCTTGGTGGTGGGGACGTGTCCCCTTCAAGGCCCCATGGTATGAGTGACTCAGGTCCCTGTGTAGCAGTGGGCGTGAAGGACTGTCGAACCTGCAGCCGTTTATACTCAGGGCAGGGGACTGGCTGCCTCTGGGTCCTGTGTGTTCCCGACGGCCCCTGCCAGGCTCTTGTGTGGGGGGGAGGGGGGGAGGGGGTAAATGTCCCCACTAGAGTCGCACTGTCCACGGGGCCTCTGAAAGGCAGGAACCCAGAAAAGCATCCCCCTGCTCTGTCCCCACAGCTGAAGTCTACATCGGCATTGGGAAGCCTGCAGAAGCCACAGCCTGTACCCAGGAAGCTGCCAACCTCTTCCCCATGTCCCACAACGTCCTGTACATGCGAGGCCAGGTGGCCGAGCTCCGAGGAAACATCGATGAAGCCCGGCGGTGGTACGAGGAGGCCTTATCCATCAGCCCCACCCACGTGAAGAGCATGCAGCGACTGGTGAGTCTGACAGCCGGCGGGACCCCTCTTCGGTGGGGCTCCCCTTGGAAGCAGCAGGGAGCTCGTGACCCTCAGACCCTCCTGTGGTCTGAGGCGGTTCGCCCGCCAGGCCAACACGATGCACAAAGCCAGCGGCTCTGCTCCTCCTGAGGGTGGGGTGACTGGAGCCCTGGGAGCTGGCGGTACAAGCCTGGCAGTGTTCCTGGCACCTAGTAGGTGCTTATTAAATAGAAAACTGACAACAGCCATTTTCAGTTTTAAAAATAAATCAGACCTTATAGTAATTACAGCTACTTAATTTTTTCAGCTTTCCTTTACAACATTTCGTAGCTCAGTACAGCTTTATAATTTTACATACTATCCCAACACTAGTTTGATTAGAAATGGCTTTTAATCTTTGTCTCACTATGGCAAGAGGCATTCGCAAGAGCTTCTGAGATCTGCGAGCTTTCTCTAGCATGGCAGGAAGGGCATAATCGAAGTGTGTGCCCAGCGTTTTTATTAAAAGGAGGCAGCGTGCTTCTACCTCGGGGCGTATGAATTATTCAGAGAAGTATTTCTTGTCCATCCCCAAGGGGAACACATGAGACAAAAGATCAAATAGGAAAATCGCACCAGGGAGGTTTTCGGTTTCACCTTTGGAGCTTGTCAGGACACCTGAGCTCCCTCACGAATGCCAGGCGCTTCCCTCTGTGAAAGGAGCCGCCGCAGTGGGCCCAGCACCCAGGGCTGGGGAGCCCCGGGGTAGAGGCCCCGCCTGGCCTTCTCTGGTCGGGGGACTGGTTGCTTTGGGGGTCTCACCAGGAAAAAATAACAACAATGAACTCCTGAGACTGTTCTCAGGGCATCAGATCTATTTAAAAACTCTCCAGGCTGGAGGCAGGCCGAGGAGTTTAGATACTCGTGGTCCGAAACCACCCAGGGACTGTGATCTGTGGGACTCCCAACAGGTGGCCTGGAGGGTTCCTTCTTGGTGACCCTGTGAACAATGCATGCTGGGCTGTGTATTCCCAGCCCATCCCGTGGAGGGGCAGCCCCTGGAACTCTAGGCCTCTGGCCGGGAAGCATCCCAGCCCTCCCTCTCCTCCTCCCTCCCCGAGCTTTGCACTGAGGAAGGGAGGAGAGTGGCCTTGCATATACTCTGGAGGCCACACTGGCCTGGGCGGCATCCCAGTTCTGTCTCTCACTAGCGTTGGGACCTTAAGAAGTTACTTACCTTCTTTGTGCCCCGGTTGCCTCAGCTGTATAATGGAGGTAATGTTAGCACCAGAAGAACTGAAAATCTCTACCTGAGTCACCAAAGACCCTGCCTGACCCTCATGGAAACCAGACGGGCCTGTCAGCCCCTAAGTGCAGAGGAGGGCCCGGCAGCGAGGCCGCAGCTGCCTTTCTACCAGGTGGAGGCCAGGGAAGAGCCGGGCTCTCAACTGGAGTGGCGAGGGAGGCGGGAACAGAGCCTGGGCACGTGCCTGGCACTCGGAGAGGAGTGTGCACATGAGAGGTGGGCCAGGAATGTCTGCCCAGGCTGGGTCAGGGCGGGACTCAGAAGGTGAGACCAGAAGGAGCTTAGAGACCATCCGGGAACCAAACAAGGAGGTTCCAGGGGAAGGAACCAATTATGGTTTGTGGACAAACCCAGAGGAGGGGAGGTGGTCCGAGTGCTCACAGGGGAGGAGCGGAGCAGGAGGGCCCGTGGGGGGCACTGTGTGGAAGGAAGGAAACCTGAGTCTGTTACAGGCGGAGACCAGGTGGCTGAGGTGATGCGGAGAGCAGTGAGCAGTCAGGTGCTCCTGCCTGTTCCATAAAGAACCATTATTCGTTAACCTGGGGGTTGGGGGGTGAGTGGCACATGTGCCAGGTCGCCCGACCCAGCTCGGAGGAGAGGGGTGATTTAAGCAGAAATGCAAACACATTAATATTGTTAAAAAGCAATAATGACATGGAGGCAGATGGTATTCATTAAACTTAATAGAAGGTCAGGCTTGACAAGAGAAATATGAATTAAACCCCAATGAAAATTGACAGTTTTCTAACAGTTTTAGCCTTCATATGTGTTTAAATCCACATAGAGAGAGAAGGGAGAAGAGAATTAATGTGCTTATTGTTAATAATGAGTTGGTACAAGACAAGAGCAGCAGAGAGCGGAGTGTGGGCAGAGAGAAGGGCGTGCTGAGCTCGGGGAGAAGGATTGCGTAGCTGTGTTGACAAGGGAGGCATTCATAAGCTGTTTAGGACTTTTTTTCCAGAAAATCTAAGGGCATACTTTCTTATCATTTTTGCATGTGGATAAATGTACATACGTCCGCATGCTATGCCTAAAAGCCTTTTGCTCCCAGTACCCAAAATGAATTCATGAAAGAGAGCAAGCTTTTCCCCACTAGTTTTTCATGACCTGGAGGAGGAGAGGGGAGGGAAATGGGGCGGGGGGCGGGGAGGGACGACTGAGGGCAGAGGAACCGCATCCCTGGGCAACACAGCCCAGGCCAAGGACAGACACCGAGACTCAGGGTGGCCAAGGACAGACACCGAGGACGGGGACAGGCTCCGCAAACAGGGACATCTGCTTGTCCTCTGATAACGTCAGCCTGGGCTTTGGAGGGCAGAGTGTGAGACGTGGGGGTGAGAAAGGAACCAACCAGCGTTTTCAGGGGAGAGATGAGCGTGGAAGGGAGCCAGGAAGGCTGAGGGGAGGGGTCGCTGAGGCTGCACGGAGGAGGGCTGCTGAGAAACAGTGTGTCCTGGAAACAGGAGCTGGTGCTCCATCTCCCTCGTCCAGGTGACAGGTGTGCAACCCAAGCAGATGGTGGGGCCATCGGGGCTTGGCAGCGCGGACAGACAGAGGGAGGCAGACAGGCCTGAGGCAGGCTTTAGAGGACTGGGCCCAGGGAAGCCTGGGAAGGTGGCACTGGGGAGCCAGGGCACCTCCCCTCCCCCTCCCAATCCCAGGAGCAGTGGGGAAGGAAGCGCACTAATGTGTCAGCCTGAAGGGGGCCTACAGCTAAGGCCAGTCAGGTGCAGCAGGCACAGGGCATTTCAGAGCTGACGGGAGAGAGGGGAGTGACGGTTAAGGAGCCATCCCCTGGATGTCGGAGTTCCCAAGGCAAGGCGGGCCAGGGGAGGGCAGGGAGCACCGTGCATGGGAGGGTCGCTCCAAGACAGGATGTGGTAAGTCCAACCCCGCTGGTGGAGCTCCCTGAAGAAAGGGGGCGATGATTGGGAGGAGAGATGTTGGAGGTGATGGGTGAGGCCCAGGCCACCCGCCCAGGAGCATGGCTGAGGCCCACCTGCCCCAGCTGAGGCCGCGGGGTGCGGGGTGGAGAAGGGAGACCACGGGGAGGTGGCTCAGTGTTGAGTCACTCTAAGGGGCCAACTCATCACAGAATAAGCTTTCTGTCTGGGGCACGGTGGGTCCAAAAGTGCTAGCGTGTCCTCTGTGCATGGACGATAACACGAAAAAGCCCAGTTCAGTCAGGATGGCTTCGACTACAGGCTTCCCCAGGCCGTCTTTGAGGGTTTTCTCCACAATCTTGGGTTTCTGAAGCATTGGAAACCTGACCTCAAGTGTAAAAACGTTAGAAGTGGTGTTGGGCTGTGTTCCCAGGAAGCACATTGGTAGCAGCGGCTGACAGAGAGAACACTGCCCGTCTGAAAGGTGCATTCATTGACGATCTGCTCGAAGGCACATGCGCTGTGCAGGGGGCGGGCGCAGGGTGCAATCCATTGGATCGTCACTATGCTCTAAGTCAGCGGTTCTCAACCTGTGGGTCGCGACCCCTTTGGCAGTCGAACAACCCTTTCACAGGGGTCGCCTAAGACCATCCTGCCTATCAGATATTTACATGACGATTCATAACCGTAGCAACATTACAGTTATGAAGTAACAACGAAAATTTTATGGTTTTGTTGAACATCTCCAGCGTTTGATCCTGCTGCGGTCCTCACAGCAGCACTGCTCTGAGAGAAGGCTGCGCCTCTGTAATCTGCCTATAGGCTCACGGGCTTGTTTACGGGGAAGAGCCATGTGCATGCCGAGCCCGATGCACGCAGAGGGTTTGATGGAGGGAAGGGGCAGCATGCACTGCTAAATTATGAAACTTGGGTGTTTTTCTCTCTCCCCATCTTTTAAAGTGTCCATCTGTTTAATGAGATTTGGGCAAGATCGCTTGACTCATATTTTGTTAGCTAGCAGCATGTTTTCCAACCCGTGCCTCTGTTGGAGGAGAGACGCAGCCTGAAGTTGATGACATTCTCAGGGTTACTCCAGAGACCAGTGTCTGTGTGTCTGTCTGATGTATCCATCAGTCTAGCCAGGGGGGCCCGGGGCCGCGGGCAGCCCAGGGCACAGGCAGGGCAGGGTTACACATCTCTCTCTGGGAGGAGCCAGTCTTGAAGAGGGGCCGTGGGTCCTTCTGTTCCTCCGGACAAGGCCCAGGCACGATTAAGCTAATGAAACAGAGCGGAGGTGCTCTTCCCGGGCGGATGCTGATCTTCAGAAGCGGATCTCTTTCCTCCCAGGTATCCGTTTTCTCTCCGAGGGAGCCTGGAAGGAGTGATTGGCAGGAAAAACGTCACCGTGGTCTAGTGAGGAGGCTCTTTCATCCAGTAATTGTACTTTATTTTCTTTCAGGATGAAAGGTGCTTTTAAAATTGAGAACAATTCTTTTCTTTGAAGAAAGACTCGTGAAATATTTAGGGGCCCACCCTTCCTGTGCGTGTGTGCGTGTGTGTGTTGATAGTTCGCCTTGGGAAGCGCACAGGCCTTACTTTCCCTAACACCTTTCCTCCCCATGATTGGGATTCGGACTAACGGTGCAAAGCAAACAGGAGGGCCGCCTTCTACTGGGCGTCTGGGCTTTCTTCTTCCTCCACCTCTCTCCCTTCTGACGGCCCACACTGCGCTTTAGCTCCTTTGATAGCTTGCGGCCTTTTTAAGAATTATTAATGGTTGGCATGAGCATATCTTCAACTCTACAGAGAAATGTAAAGCCTCATACATTGTT